ACGCCCAGGATGTGGCAGTTCTGCGCGCGCTTCCACGACGCCACCTCCGAGAAGCTCCCGCCCACGTGCTTCTCCTTACCCTCCCCGTTCTCCTTCCCCGCGCCCTCCTTTCCGCCGTCCCCCTTGCCCATCTTGCGCACCCATCCGCTGAACCCCACCGGCGGCGATCATGGCGGACTCGGAGATGGACCAGATGAAGTAGTACTTCCACCGGGTCACCTCGCACGCGTGGTAGATGAACAGGAACCGCCGCCAGTACGGCATGTCGAAGTACACCTTGGGCGTCTTGAGGATGTCTATATCGAGGATGGACGCGAGCTTGAGCTGGATGACTGCGGCGAAGATGCCCTGGATGAACGCGCGCAGGAAGGGGACGAGCGCCGGGGGCGTGCGCGTGCCAGGCGCCCAGATCTGGTGGGCGGGGACGGGGAGAGAGAGGGGGGGTTTGGGGGAGAAGAGAAGGGGAGGGGGTTGAGGGAGGAAGTGAGGGAGGCTTGTAGTGCGAGGCGGTGTGCATGTTGAAGCGGTTTCTGCACGAAGAAGAGAGGTCAAGAGAGGTCAAGAGAGGTCCGAGAGTGCTGTGAAGTAGGTGAACCTGACAGCACCAGCACTGCGTTGGGCAGCAGATGGAGCCTCCGAATGACACTGAACGCTGCGACCAATGCAGCCACTACCAAGCCGTCAGGCTTTAAGCCAAGGCTTCCCAAGTGACAGCTCAACAGCCCGGTGATTCTTGCACCCGGTGAGCCAAGGATTGACTCGTTTGATTGGGGAAGGCGGAAGGCAAGACAAGAGGGTGGGAGGCACGGCAGGAAGGCGGAAGGCACGGCAGGAAGGTGGGAGGCGGTAGGGGTACGTACCCCCTTGCGGTCGATCCAGTCGTTGTAGGCGGAGAAGTCGTAGAAGGGTCCGGCGAAGTGCAGCCCGCAGCAGAAGGTGTACCCGAGGAACTGCAGCAGGCTCGGCAGCGCCTTGATCGGCTTCGGCGCGTCGCTCGCCGCCGCTGCAGCGGCCGCCTTGGCGTCGTCCGCCTTCTGCGGCTTGCCGCCGTCCTGGTAGTCGTACGCCACTGACGTCACCTTGAGCACGAGGATCATCATGGCGCCTGATAGGATGGGGAGGAGCGGAAACGTCTGCTTTAGAGTCGAGTCAAAAGCCTTTTGCGGCGCGCCGCCATCCTGGTAATGGCCAGTGACGCCACCTTGAGCACCAGAATCATCATGGCGCCTCACGAGAGGAATGTTGGGTTTCGGACAATGTGGGGTTTCCGTCGCGTGTCTGGTTGTCCAAACGTATTATCATTTGCTACCGGGCGAGGTGTTTGTTCGCTTAAGAGCAGATTCAGAATATCGTTTAACTTAAAGAAAAGAGTTAGGATTAACGAACGATCAGCATTAAGTGAATGATTGCGCATGCAGCGATCATGCGATCGCAAATGCAGCGATCGCTCTATGGCAAATGCAGCTAGAGCATGCTTGGAACGGAACTGCATGAAAGCTCACCAGTGAAGTCAATGTTTCCTTGCCGCCACGAATCGCCGCTCATGTAAAACACATGGCTGCCAACACGCACAAACACGCACAAGAAACCATAGCTGATTAGAAGCGGATTAGATTCAGGCCCTAGAACGACGACTTAAACACAAGGCATGATTCATACAGGAGAAACGGAGATGCCTGAGGGCGTTCACTAACCAGCCGATGAGGTACGCGAAAGTGGTGAAGAAGGTGATCACCCCGCATTGCCTGCGGTACACGAGCATGGATCCATACGCCACCACGCACGCCACCACGCAATGACCCAGCGACTCGTATCCGAACGCAATGTACGTGAGCACGAGGCCGGACAGCGTCGCCCAGACATGGCGGACGGCGCCGGCTGGGAGGAGCCGCTGGAGGAAGCAGCAGGGGATGCTGATCAGGTAGCACACCAGGAACTTGCCGATCCCCACGGACAGCCCCAGCGACGCGCAGAAGTCCTCGAATCCAGCCATGGCTGGCCTTACGGGCGCAGGGAACCTGGGCGAGGAATGCTACTCACGTGCAAGCACGGCTTCACTACGCCCGAGCTGAACTGAATAGATTCTGATGAGAGGTCACACCTAGAAGTTATCTGGATCATGAAGACAGCGAAGCAGTGCAGGTCAGGTTCTGTATGGTTCAGCTCGGTTTATTCTGCTTCAAATCGGTTTTGTTGGGGAGCGTTGGTTTGGAGGGGAGCGTTGGTCTGGGGGAGAGAGTGCGAGCGTGACGAGATGCCACATGAGCAGAGTGGATTCCGACCGCATGATTTATCGTCCCAGCAGGTTCGCTTCTGGTCGATATCATCTCTCCGCCGTCCGATGCTCCGATGTACAAGGAAACACGACTGCTTGGTCCCGAGGCAAGGGCTGTCTGGTGGTTTGGGGCAATCTGGGAAGTGTCTGGCCAATCAGACGGATTCCCTCCATCCAGTGCATGGGTCGATTCAGGCGATTCGTGACGCACCACCACACATGACATGTGAGCCACACTTTGGGTCTCGATGGCTACGATCAACATGTAAGCACAGTGCATTCGGCCTGATCAACATTTATTCGCGCTAAGCACAGACGCGGCACCAAGAAAACTCGAAGCACAAGACACACACTGTACAAGTAGAATCCAAAAACATGTACAGTTTTCAAGCGATCCCAAGGTTTCCCGCCCATTTCCCTTTCACCATCACCATCCCATCTCCATCGCCATCCTCCCCAACGATCACTTCCCCTGTCTTCCCTAACGCGACCTTTCACATGCCATGGCTGTCAAGGCATAATGCGATCTACTGACATCTACGAACCTGTTAACTGTTACTGCTGAGCATCCTCAGCACGTAGCCACGGAGCCCATGGAACTGGCGTACAGTGCCGTGAAGAGCCTTACAGGAGCAATTCTCGGGAAGCGACTATGGAGCGAGAGACAACAGGAAAAAAGCAGCATCCTACCACCGCCATTAAAACGGTGTTGTATTAATAAGCCTGCGTCTTTAGCTCTCATCCCTCGTGCACCAGTTTCCAGCTTTCGCCTCGTTCCCGTGTGCGCTTCGTCAAGCAGGGACAGTAACGGGTTACGCAATCACGCCTCCCATTATCGAGGCGCTGGTGCTTCGTCTGAATCACACAATCGAGCAACTCCAGTGGGTAGGCATGGAAGCGACAGCGGAGCTCGCCGCCTCTTTGATTATGCTAGAGAGCCTTGTATCGGGGACGCGGGTGTACGAGCTCAACGGGCTTTGGCCAAGGCAAGCACAGCAGGTATCGGCGCAGCGGATCTCACGAATAACGCGAGTGTGACTATAATGGACGGTGTCCGGCCAGGCGCATATCTCACTGACGGGGGAGAACTGACTCATAATAACGGGATCGTTAACCAGCCTATTGACTTTAACGAGGACGTCTTAATTTCGGCCGATCTCCCCGCTGGGAGCGCCGTTAGCCCCGCGACACAAGCGCGGCGGCGCTTCATAGAGGACAAGGGCGCGGGGGACAACGTGGCGGCGGAGCGGGCGGAGATGCTTGCGCGCGTGCTTGCGCCGAGCGGAGACTGCATTCCGCGGATCAAGCTCGGCGCGGCAGGGGGGGCGGGGGAGCTGCGGCCGGGTGGTCGGGGGAGGGGGAAGCCTCGCGCGCGAACACGACGCAGCCAATCCGACGAGCCCAGCGACGAGCGCTCAGCGCGAATGGCGGCGGGTCGTCTTCGTCGTTCCCGCTGTCTGCCGCCTCTGCGACCACCTTCGTCGCCGCGTGCGTCGTCGCTGCTGGCGCCGCTTTCGCACGGCACAAGTCGCTCCCAGCTCCGCCGGCTGCCTCTGTCTCAGGTTGGGCCAGACTCACACCCCTTGCCACCCCCTCGCCCCCCATCCATTGGTTTCAATCCCACCCTCCCCACCCTCCCCACCCTCCCACCCTCCCCACCCTCCCCACCCTCCCCACCCTCGCCTTCCGGTTCCGTCTGCCTCCACTATCTCCCATTTCGCCACGGCCACCGCCCCTCGCCGCCGCTATACTCCTCCTGAGGTTGCCGCTGCCTTCTCTCCCAGTCATCGCACACTCCCCCCTTCCCGCCACCACTCCTCCCTCTCCTCCCTAACTCTCCGCCCCTGTCTCCGCCGTGCAGCAATGGTGGCGCCGGCCAGTCTCCCAGTCAAGGACCAGGTCAGTTGGCTCCACTTCCGTGCTCCCACCACACACCCCTCACATGTCACAGACTTCCCTCCTTTCCGTTCCGCACTGCCTTCGCTTTTCCTACGTCTCCCATCTATCTCACTCTCCTTCCGCTCGGCCGTCCTCCCTCACACCCAGGTGCTGGGCCACTACGCGGTGGAGGAAGCACCTACAAGCGACCTGCGCCCCGTGCTGGGTGATGGCAGGTGGGCGATGGGCGGTGATGGCAGGTGAGCGATCAGGTGAGCGATCAGGTGAGCGATCAGGTGAGCGATCAGGTGAGCGATGGCAGGTGAGCGATGGCAGGTGAGCGATCAGGTGAGCGATCAGGTGAGCGATGGCAGGTGAACTACTGCTGTTAACCGGTGCATGCCGTATCCTTAAAACTCTAACCTTGAGATGGTCGCTACGCTTTATCACTCTTCTCACGCTGCTGCCACCGCCCACTGTTCCTCCCCCCTCACCATTTGCATCGCTCCCCTCCCGTCTCGTCAACCCCCTCCCTCCCTCCTTCCCCCTCACTCTCCCAGTGTGCATCTGCACACGGCAGCAGTGTGTGCGCTCCTGTCAGCACTCTCTCACCCTCGTCTGCTGTCCTCTCTTTCCCCCCATCGCTCCTGTCGCGTCTGCCAGTGTGCAGCTGCGCACGCAGCAGCGCGCGCGTTCCTCTCCATGCAGGATGCTGCACGGCGGGATGGCATCTTCCTCACCCCGCTCTCAGGGTGAGTCCATCACCCCCCCTTTCTCCTTCGCCTTCTCCCATCTCCCACACCACTGCTCACCCATACCATACTGTCACTTCCCTCTCTATCACTTCCCTCTCTGTCACTTCCCTCTCTGTCACTTCCCTCTCTGTCACTTGCCTCTCTGTCACTTGCCTCCCTCTCGCGTCCTGCCTCTCAACCTGCTCTCTTCCACCCTCCCCTCTGTAGGGTGAAGGCGGCTCGCACTCATAAGCCCCCCTCCCCCTCCCACGCCTCCTCCCCTACCTGCGTTTGCTCAGGTTCCGGTCGGTGAAGGACCAGCAGTCAGTGTTCTACGGAGTGAAGGCGGCTCGCAACCAGAACATCAGACAGCGAGCCAAGGTGCCAAGGGAGGAGGAGGAGGAGGGGGGGGGTGGGTGGGTAGGGCTGGGGGAGAGGGGGAGGAAGGGGTGGGAAGGGGGGGAAGGGGGGCTGGTGTGCGACAGAGATGGAGGTGACTTTGCGGTGATCTTCCAGTGTGACCATCGCAGTGTCATGGCAAGGAAGCCCGGTGAGTACCTGTCTGTGTGCTAGCAGTTCCTCTCAACTGGCCAGTTTCACCAAGGGTTCCTGTCTGCCCTCCTTCTCTTGCCACCAACCCTACCCATATCGGCATTACCCGCTGTTGCTCCTGCTCCTATCCCTGCTCTCCCCCAAGCAGGTATCCGCCCCTCCAGGTTTCAGTGAGCATCACACGGGCTACGCCCTTGACATTGGGGATGCGAATTCTCCTGCCACACATCTAGAGTTTGGTGAGTCTGGAGCAAAGGGTTATGAACTTTGCCTTATCGCATGTGAGGTTATAGCATGTGAGCTAAGGGCATGTGAGTCTGTAATTTTGTGGGGTGCTTTGTGGTGTTCCCATGCCGTTTTAGTTTATTGAATGTTCACTGCCCTGCCCTCGGGATGTTGCGTGCAGATTTCGAAAACACCGAAGCATTCTATTGGCTGCAGAAGCATGCAAACAGGTGGGTACTTGGATGTTGTGCGTTCTGTTGGATTCTTAGTCGAAATTCGCACGCTGATCAGGCCATTCCTTTTGTTTACAGGTTTCACTTCGAGTTGTCCTTTCCGCCTGACAACACAAGGGGCATCATGTATGAGCCGTGGCACTGGCGATTTGTTGGCGACGATCACAGCACGGTCACCTTTTATGGCCAACGGGTGGTTACCCCGTAGCGATCATTCATTGGTATCCATTGTGCATATGGATGCACATGGTATATTGACACTCCATTTGCTACTCCTGTACAACTACCATTACTCTTACCCTCCCTTTCCAACCACTTGCTCAAGACTTCGCACGTGGTGCAAGGATTGTCAATCAACTTTCACCAGCTTTACCTTCGCTTTTCTATCAAGGTGGTACTAGCAACCAGGTCAACCCCTCTTTCCAGCTCCCACTCCTACAGCATGTGGCATTGCCATGCCTCCCTCCCTTCAGGAACTTGACGTCCACGGTACTTGGCAGCACTAGCTTCGTCAACCCCGAGAGAGTGTACCAGTGTACATGGATGTCATCGTGCTCGTAACCAAATCCAAACCCAATCGGGCAGGGTCAAGAGACATGCACCCACCAGAAACATGGGCTGCCTGTTTGAACTTACCAGGAGGATGTGCTGAATGCACCTACATAACATAACTGTACCACCAGAAAAGTGTGCCTCTTCCTTGCATCTAGGTACACGGAAAAAGAAGCACGTGCTGCTTGCACCTAGCAGAAGCATGTGCTGCTCTGCTTGCTTGGAGGCAGCAGAAAGAGGCATAGCATGGGCTACCTGCTCCCACCAGAAGCGTGTTTGTACACCCACCATGGCATTTCTGGGACACGTGTCGAAATATTTTGCCATGCGGCATCAAATAGAACAAAACGTTTGACGCTGCTGTTGGAAATATCTCAAAGGACTTGAGCGTTTCTGAAGTGTAACACTGTACTCGAGGAAGATTACAGGGGAGCACGCGAGTCAACGGAAGTTACACGAGGGGGCGGACAAAGAATGCGAAAAGACTCGAAAGGTCGCAACTGGAGGTTGCGACTGACCGTTACAACATCACGGATGGTAACCGAAGCGGCAATCGAGTCGCTGTGCGACTCGATAAACCGTTCCTGTAACTGTATTCTACAACTGCCTTCCTATCTTCTATATAT